GCCCTTAACCATACGAGTGGCCCTTCTCTGGACCCTCTCCAGGTTATCCACATCCCTCTTGAAGTGCGGCGCCCAGAATTGCACGCAGTACTCCAACTGCGGTCTGACCAGCGCCTGATAGAGGGGAAGTATCACCTCCTTGGACCTATTCGTCATGCATCTGCTGATGCACGATAAAGTGCCATTGGCTTTTTTGATGGCTTCGTCACACTGCCGACTCATGTTCATCTTGGAGTCCACTAGGACTCCAAGATCCCTTTCCACTTCCGTGCCACCCAGCAGGTCATTCCCTAGGCAGTAGGTGTGCTGGACATTTTTCGTCCCTAGGTGCAGCACTTTGCATTTCTCCTTGTTGAACCGCATTCTGTTGTTTTCTGCCCACTTGTCCAACCAGTCCAGGTCTGCTTGCAGCTGTTCCCTGCCCTCCGGCATGTCCACTTCTCCCCATAGCTTTGTGTCATCTGCAAACTTGGACAGAGTACATTTCACTCCCTCGTCCAAGTCACTGATGAAGACATTAAAGAGTATCGGTCCAAGGACCGAACCCTGTGGGACCCCACTTCCCACACCCTTCCAGGTCGAAACCGACCCATCCACCACGACTCTCTGTACCCAGCCCAGGGAGGAATTCCATGACCCAGGCAGAATCATGCCATTCATCCATGGAAGCAGAGACACCATGTCCTGGCTAGACCCTATCCTAGGTGTTGGCTTCCACTGGATCCAGCTCCCAGTTTCCTCATAGCTTCCATGACAGTGTAGCTCCTGGGTCTGTTAACTGCATGTGGACCTGGGGACTAAAGCCCTTCCCTCAGTACCCTGTTCCATCCCCAGCCTCACTGGTCTCACTTCAGCTTTCAAACCTCAAACCCAGGGCTCGGTTTTTCCTGCCTTGGACCTGCTCCCAAGGGAGTAAACAGCTACAGACACCAGACAGGACATGCCATATGTGACATTACTGTGTGACCCACCAACTGTCCTGATGCCTCAGCGTGGGCGATTGGTAATGGCCCCGGAGCATAGTCGGAGATGATGCCCTTCAGTGCCCAGCCCAAAGGAGACTTTTTCTGGTGGTTGGAACCAGCCCCCCAAAGCAGAGCTGGGCTCTTTCCAACAACAGTTCCTGATCAAGAAACTTCTGGCAGATTCAGGGAAAATGTTGAGAATAGGCAAGAAACAACCCTTTGAGATCTCTATAACAAAGCAACTTTAGGCCAGCTGCTGGGGAGACTGAATAGTCAGCGAATCCTCAAAACCTTTCTCCAGGAGAAAAGGAAAGATGGAGATCATTCTGCTTCACATCCTATCTGAATACCTGGGGAATACCTGGGGAAGAAGATGCTACAGTAGGGTAGGGTATCAGTCAGGCTGAGAAGAAATCCATGAGTAAGGTCTGCCATAAGGTGTAAGGAATTGTAATACAAATTGCATGGAAAAAATCAATCATTTCAGGCTAAATATAATAAAGGGATCTTAAATGCATCTAAAGCAGGACTTATGAGGCTTGAGGGACCAAAATCTAAGCATGAACTCTGAAACACCCTATTCAGCTGCGGTATAACCTTGGAGGCACCTAAACTTGCCACCTAAACTTGGACTTCAGAGATCTCCAGGGCCAGATCCTCGTCTACCAGGTACCCCTGTGAGACTCAGTGCCTAAGTACAATTTTATTCCACCCTGCTTGAGTCCCTGCAAACTGTTAGCATATCTACTTTTGTAGCATGTTGTGAACTTAGCCTTAAGATTTAGTCACAAAAAGCAGCAAGGAGGAGGAGGAGCCACCCACCAGCTGTTACTGCTGCCTGCCCTAGTGCAATGACAGGGAAAGTCACATCTTTGCAGAAAGACAGTCATGAACTACAGCAAGCATCTCAAAGATATGGCCCATGGACCAGATACAACCCAAGGTACTATATCATCTGGCCCACAGGGCTCCTAAAGGGGCCAGGAATTCAGGGAAGGGACAAGTGGGGACAGGACCCACCAGCAAATTCTGGGGTATGTCTAGTAGCTGAAGAGTTAATGCAGTTGCTGCTGGGTGATGCTCTCCAATATTGCAGCTGTCAGTCATTTCACTACAGGATTTAGCTTTGGCAAGTATGACTGGTGATGAAATTCAGAGCAGTAAGAGCATCTGTGAGGGTTAGTTGGTTCTCAGCACCTCTCTAAGTCTACCTTATTGAGGAACTATTTTGCAATATAATGTGGGAGAACTTGCCTGTCTTTTGCAACCCCTACATAGGGATGTCATGAGTACAGTACCAGTGCCAAAGCATAAATCCAGCAGAGGTGGATAAGCTGTTCTTGCACTAGCGCAACCCCTCCCCCTTTCTTCCCCACCCTGTCCTTTCTGTACAATCTATCACCCTCAATATGTACCGCCCAGTCGTGGGATGAATCCTTGTGCCCTTGGTGCCAGGAAGGCTACCAGCGTCCTGGGCTGCATTGATCGCAGCTTTACCAGCAAATCAAGGGAAGTGATTCTTCCTCTCTGTTCAGCACTGGGGAGGCCACATCTGGAGTCTTGTGTCCAGCTGTGAGTCCACATCCTTTCTGTAGCAGGGGGCATGTTGGAGAGAGTCCAGCGGACGGCAATGAAAATGGTTGTGAGGTTGGGGGACAGGACTGGAGGAGAGGCTGAGGGAACTGGGCTGATTGAGTCTGTAGAACAGAAGACTGAGGAAGGATTTGATAGTAGCCTTCACCTCCCTGCCGGGGGGTGCAAATAGGACGGAGCTGGGGTGTGCTCAGTGGGGGCAGATGGCAGGACAAGGAGCAATGGGCTCCACTTGCGGCAAGGGAAGTTGAGGTTGGATATGAGGAAAAACTTTCTCACCAGGAGGGTGGTGAAGCACTGGACCAGGCCCCCCAGAGAGGGGGGGGCCCCCCCATCCTTCCAGGTTTTTAAGCCCCGGGTAGACAAAGCCTTGACTGGGATGATGCAGTTGGGGCTGGTCCTGCTTGGAGCAGGGGTTGAACTAGATGTGACCTCCTGAGCTCTCTTCCACCCTCATTTTCTATGATTCTGTCATCCAAAAGCTGAAGTAAGTAGGCACTGGGCACCCTTTTGGCTGGCTACTGTACACGGGGCACCTGGGCTTTATCAGCCTGTGCCCCTGGGCTCCATGACATACCGTGGTGCTGGGTCCCACAACCAGGCAGCAGCTCCTCCCTGTGCTCTAGTGGACGGCTCACCTACTGCTTCCCAAGCAGTGCCTGACCAGCACAGTGCTGCTGCTGCTGCTTGGGGGCATGGGGAGGAGTCCACCCAGCCAGCCCCCTACAGATCCCACCCAGAATCATTTCTGGGTGGGAGGGAGCTGCAGAGGTCGCGTCTAGTCCAACCCCTGCCTGAGGCAGGATCAGCCCTGTGCAAACCATCCCGCACAAGTCCAGTGTCCAAACTCTGAGCAAATTGGCACCGTCACCCTCATACCACCCCCGGCCCTGTTGCAGGGAAAGTGCTGCAAAAGTTGTTAGTAGACACTCCAGAGATCCCAGACTGAGGCTGTGTCCCTGCTGCAGAAGAAGGCAAACACCCCTCTCCCCCCCCCATTTTATACCAGTCTGAGCAGGGGGGGCACTCCTTCCTGCCCCCAGTGCAGCATCGGTCTGATTCTGAGCAGAAGGACAACACCTGCTATCTGGGACCCTTTGGCTTTGGTGCCAGCAGCAGCATTGGCACAGCCTAGACCCCATCCCCAGCCTGGGCTGCAACCAACCCCCCAATGCTTCTGAGGGGGGCTTACAAAAAATCCTTGACACAGAGCAGTGATGGGGGAAGGCATTCCCTCCCAACCCCATGCAGCAACTAGCGCAGCCCAGAAGCCTGAGAAATCCCTGGGGGCAGGAGGAGCTGAGCTTGCCCTCCTGCTGTCTGTACAGGGCCCTACGTGAGGGCCTGTAGGCTGGCTGCAGAACGGCACTGGAGGGTTATGACAAGCAGGGTATGCTGTGCTGCCTGGAGCCCATCTGTGCTGAGTAGCAATTGCCTGCTGCTGGCATTACAGCTTTGGTATAACGTCTTGAAGGGCATTACGTGGCATTCCAGTCAGCTCCCTACTCCCATGGCCTTGGCAGTGAGAGTCCGGACACAGCCGTGGGCTCCAGCCAGAGAGCAGGAGCTCTCCTGTTGCTGGTAGGCAGTGAAGGCTCCCCCAGGGGAGTAGTGTCAATAGGGGGTGAGCAGGAGAATCCCTGGCTGTGGCATGTACACATGCAGCTCACGTGCACTCCTCATGCAGCCCACATGCGCTCACCTGTGGGCTTCTAGCAGGTTACAATGGATGTCTTGGGGCAAGGCTGGGCAGGCCTGGGGGGCCCAATGGCCTCATCTGCGGGTGGCGTGACCTGGTGCACGGGTGGAGCACGGCACTGCTCAGCCTCACGGTGAAGCCGGAGAGAGGCTGCTGGGCAATGCGGTCTGGGCATGCGAACCATCATAGCATGAAGGCTCCAGAGGTCTCCAGGGCTCTGTGCATCTCACCCACTCTCCTCCATGTCTGCTGTCAGGAGCCAGTGCTGTCACCCTGCCCTGGAGGTGAGAACGAGCTCCTGGCACTACTCAGGGCCTGGCAGGTGCCTGCTGATGGGGACACTTCGCTGCTCGTGGTACAGAGTGCCCGGGACGTGAGAGAGGTACTGTGGACCGCAGCTGCCTTCCTGCAAGGTATGGATTGGGCACGTCTCCTGCACCCCAGTATGCATCCAGTGCTCCTCCCACCTCCTTTCCAGGGGTGCTACTGTCCCTCCAGAGCCTGCCTGCACTGCGCTTCCCTAGCTCTTCCCTCCTAGCCACGGGGCGGGAGCTGGACAGCCAGCCTTCCCTGCCCTTCAGTGTGTTGCACTTGAACAAGAGGCCAAGGAGAAAGCCCAGTGCTGTTCCAGCCTTGAAAACAACCCCACTTCCCACCCCTGCACTTGCCCCTGCTCGGCTTTCAGCACTGTGGGGTTCCCCAGGCTCCTGTCTCCACCTGCACCCTGCCTCTGTCACAGGTGCTCCCCTGCTTCTCCGTGCTGTGGCCTTAACTGGGTACCTAGGCCTTGGAATGACTAGTGAGAGGCAGGTCAACCAGGCCCCTGCCCCTCTCCATCCCCCCCGTGCCTGCCTTGGTACAGTGAACAGTTTATGGTGTGACCAAGAGCCCTGCCGAGCAGCCTCCTGGCCAAGTTCCCCCTCAGTGTGATCAGATCCTTCTCTGCCCATACTTTGCTTCCCGTATGCTGAGGTCAGCAACGCAGTGTCCAAGGAGGTCGAAGTGTTCTGCCACAGACCTTTCTGCAGCTGATGTCAGAAAGGTGAAGTCAGGACTGTTTCACCTGTAGAGATACAAGATCAGGGTCTATGATCAGGACCTTTTTAGCAAGCTCAGACAGAACGAAGGTGCAGCGACACTTCCCTTGAGGATGGCCGATAGAAGAGGCAGGAGGTGGGTCTGCATCCCAGCTTTGAAATGTCTCCACTCCAAATCAAATGCTTCTCATCATGCCTATCCAGCTACTTGCAGCAGCGCAAGGCAGTCTCCCCTTCATGGGCTGGGGAGACGCAGGAGGGAGGAGGAGAGTCCACACGCATAGACTGGCAGCAGGTCCTCTTGGTTTACTGAGGGCTCAAATTCCCCCCACCCCTGTCTACACCTGATACTTATGCATAGTGTGTTCTGGTAAACCTCTGATCGGTTTTATTCAAATTTCTTTGTTTCCCTGAGACTTTGGGACCTGGATTTAAGCCAGTTTTTATGTGGATGTGAGACCCTGTGATACCAAGAGCAGTGGAAAGGAGGATTGCTTATCTCTGTCCTTCACTCTGCAATGCTGCCGGCACCTCCTGTTTCTGTTCCTCTGCTGACCAGGCCGGTTGAAGCATCTGTAAAATGGAAGTGAAGGCTCTGGAGGCCTTCTGCTCTCGCTGCACCTCTGCAGCTGAACACAAATCCCTTGCACGTGGGCGAGGCTGGCCACGGGTGGTTTCGGTGGCGCACTGCCACTTTTACCTCCGTGCTCCTGGATCTACTTCCCAGAGCCCCTCTGACTTCCCCGTTCATCTCTTCTAAATATGACACACATTTCTCCCTTATCCTGTGCAGCTAGCACAGACCCAGTAGCATTTCAGTGGGATTGCAGCTGACTACACACGATTTGGTTCTTATCAAGTTGCTGCAGCTTTTGGTTAAAGGCAATTGCCTGCCTAGGTGAAAACTAGGGGCCTTGGTTAACAGATTATGCTTCTGCTTCCTAGCGGTTATATACAGAGCACATCAATCTACACCAGCTTAAGCATGTATTATCCACAGCTTTGGCTCATATTCTGTCTGCAGCCCGATGGCGTTTCATCAGAGAGCATGTCTGCAGCCTGTATGCAGGGATGGGGTCTATGGGGTCCTCACTGTCATGGCAGAGCTGGTCCTAGAGCTTCTCTGGCCCCAAGGGGTTAGCCAAGCTTGTACTCTGGTCTGTAGCTCCCAGGGTGGGGCCAGGTTTCCGAGGGGCAGATCGATTCGCATGAAGGTTGCACAGCATTCCTGGTCCCTTGCAGGCAGTAGAGGGAGTCCAGCAG